GGAATATCAAAAAAGGCAATACAAAGTGATTTTGCTTCATGATAATGCACCATCACACACAGCAAAACTGGTCAAGGAAACGATTGAGGCGTTTGGTCGGGGAATACTTTCGCATGCGGCTTACTCACCAGACTTGGCTCCGTCCGATTACTACTTATTTGCATCGATGGGATACGCACTTGCTCAGCAGCGCTTCACTTCTTACGAAGATGTACGAAAATAGCTAGATGACTGGTTTAGCTCAAAAGAGCAACAATTTTTTTGGCGTGGCATTCACAAATTGTCAGACAGGTGGGAAAAATGTATATCTAGCGATGGGCAATAATTCGAATAAAATATTTTTTATCATTTTCATGCAATAAACGTGTATTTTCTATTAAAAAATTCCGGTTTCATATTTACATACCTGGTACATTGTATATATACATATATATATATATATCTCTTTCATTTCTGCACAATTTCTTATCAAAAATGTCCTGTGCTCATATTACCCCTAAGGATGCTCATATTAGCCTGTCCAAAGAATAATATGAACGCTGGACGGACAATAAGAGCACCTGTCACCATTTCAACATTTGCATTAAAATAATCAATTTCAATACTAATTGTATGATACATAAAACATCAACAAATGTATCAAATAGTATGCATAAGATTTTTTTATTCTTCAATATGCTAGATATATCAAAATGTTTCCTTAAGGTGCTCATAATGTTCAATATTATCCCATATTATAGACTCTCAAAAACAAATACACCTATTTATCAATAAAAGTGACGTGTGAATACAGATCTGTACATTATATTTATTTAAGAATAAAAATGACTTTGTTACTAATTGTAAGTTCATATGGAATCCATTGTTTAAATTATTAATGATTGTGCTCATCTTTAATGCAATTAATGTTTATTATCATTGGCAAATAAATGAACATTGATAAATTAAAATTGATGCGTGCTTCCATATGTATGCTTTTATAATATAATTGGACATTGAAATGAAAATTGCGGCATGTATATAACTACGATTAAACGGATGAATTTCAATTTGAATAAATGAAGTTTGAATAAATGAAAAAATCTATGCAATGTTGTATTGTTTTGATAACAGGAGAAAAGGATATATATATTTTTAATTCGTTAATTTCTTTGAGACTTTTTATTGCTGGTGCAAATAAAGAATCATAATTAACAACTTTTTTAAAATAGATATACAATTTACAATTATTTTTAATTTATTATTTTATAGTTCTGTGTGTACTTTGAAGTACATACTATATGGATATTTCATTAATTTAGTTAAAGAGGTACGATCGAAAAATCAAAATGCTTTAATGTATCTAAAAAAATTATACAGAATATTATTTAAAACGAAACTAATACTATATTAAAATTTTAAATCGATTGACAGTGTAATTTTGAAGAAAGAAAGAGCTAAAATTAGAGTTTTATGCATGGTGTCTTAAGATAAATACATTGAATGACTGATATATTACATAATTACTTATTTTTTAAATGCTTCGATCCACATAAAAAACATAAATAGTTAGAGCAAAGCTTTTTTTACATACTTGCAAGAATTTTAACTCTATTCACCGCAAACAAGCAAATAAATTACACATTGTATAAAAAGCTGATAAAAACATGTCTATTTGAGCAATTAAAGAAACGTACGCGGAAAACTTGGCAACGCTGTTGACTTCCGACATTAAGTTAGTTTGCAATTTGCTTTATTCTGTGATAAATGAATATGTTTGCTTATAACCTATTGTTATGTTTTTAAGTGTAAAACACGTATATAAAAATAATATTTTAACCTTAATTAACTGTCAATTACTAATGCGTAACTTGAGTAGAAATGTCAAACTCATTTTCAGAATGTAACGTTGCTAAGTTATCGATAATCATTAAACATAAACCATTAAATTACTTGCATTTTCTAATAATAGAATATTAATATTATGATTCATAATTAAAAATTAGCAATCAATGTTATCTTTTAATTTTAATAAATCATAAATTAGCTTTTTTTATTATTAAAACTTTTCATATATTAGGTTGTTATTACCAATGTAAAACAATAGCATACCCTCCTCTACTCTAACAGCACAGACCTCCTCCTCCCCCACCCCA